AATGTGCTATAATGTAGTAGCTAAACCATTAAATATTTATCTTTGTGTACTTTTCTTTTCTTTCTATCTAATGGAGTGCAAGGGATTTTGTGCAAGACTCTAAACAAGATTCAAGACATTGAAATGGTCAGACTGTTAGAGATGTCATCACAATGATCTCTCTACCATTATATCACTATGATTTTTTCATTACTTAATGTGAATATATTGTATATAGAACTTATCATACGTGCTATATCCTCTTATTATAAATAGTGGAATATATTTTCCTCTAACCTCAACTAACAGTGCTCAACTCTATCCAAATCTCTTAAATTTTGTCTTTGATTTTGTCTTGTAATAAATAACAAATTTAACACAATTATTTTTCATTTTTCTATGAGTAATCGGACAATTCTTAAATTTTGTCTTTGATTTTGTTTTGTAATAAATAACAATTTTAACACAATTATTTTCATTTTTCTATAAGTAATCGGACATTGATCTCTTCCAAAATCTTTCTATGTCCTCGCTTAATTTTTTTTTACCCACTTGATAGTGGATGAGGGATGGTCCAATAATTTTATTTCTATTTTTAATTAAAAAGATTATATACACAAAATAACAAACACTAATTTTATAAAAATATATAAAAATTAAACAAAAAAAAAAGGCATATATATATAATTTATGTGTATGAAAATATGTGTAGGTAACACTCTCTTTAATAATTTATTATTAAGATTCCCTTTGGTAGATATTAGATATATATACTTTTACTTTTTGTTTTTTATTTTTTATTTTTATTTTTTATAAAAATAATAAAACATAAAAATATAAAATCAAAGAAAAAAAAATCAGTTAAGCCTAAATTGCAGCATCACCTGAGGTTAAGCCTATACATATACCTAACGTTTATAGTGCATGATAAAAACAAGAAATATTTTGTCAAATCAAGTCGTTATTCATGCATTTATGTTGGTGATGTGAAACTTCTATTAATATTTTGAATGGAACAAGTTGATTATCATTTTTCTTAATCTTTTACCTAACATTTATTTGTTATGTAAGGGATTGATAACACTGTTATGATGTAACAGTAAGAATTATATTTAATTTTATCGTTATCTTTGTATTTGTATTTAAATAAATATTTTTTTAATTTTAATTTTATAGTTATAATATTTAATTTTATCATTATTATTATTTTTAGATATATATTTTTATTATTAATTTTAATCTTACAATTATAATAATTCATCGCATCATTATTATTGTTTTAATTTTATTGAAATAAATCTCACGGATTATTTTAACAAATATTTAAAATTTTATGGATTTGTATATCTCATATTAATGTGATGTAGTAGACAATCTTGGAATAGTTTTTAAACATATATAAACAATAATTAAAGCAAAATTAAACCAACGTGACGAAAACTATTTTTTTCCTCTTTTTTAAGATTTAAAATGCTATGTGTGATGCATTTGATTCCCATGATGTATTTTGGTTCAATAGTTTCAATATAAAAAAAATGTTATTACTGATATGTACCCTAAAAACAAACTTAAAAACAATGTGCAATTGTTGAAAATATAATAAACAATTAATTTCTATGGTTTTCATTCTAAATTAATAAATTCAAGTAAACCCATTGGATACCTACCCTGTTTTTGGACGTGCACTGCCAGATCCAAGCACATTTAGGACCCCAGCTTGGTCTAAGAAAGTTAGGCTCAACTTTGAGAAATAAAATTAGAACACAATTTAAAATTGATCATGTCAAGTTTTTATTTTTATTTTATAATCTAATATAATTTATCTATAAGTGCGAAATAGTGATATCATTAGATAATGCAAAATAATCTATGGAGCGTCAAAGGAGTATCTAGATTAAATAATCATAATTTAATAATTTTTTTTTAAACTTAAAATTTTAAATAAAAAAGATTATCCATTTCAGAGTCAGGACATATAACAAATCTTAAGAAATTTTAAATTAAAATTACATTTCACTCATAAAAAAAGAATATTAGTAATGAAAATGAATCTAAATTTTATAAATGAAAGTATTTTAGTACTTTATGATATGTGATGTATAATCATGATAGCAGGTCCTTGATTTTTTTTTTTTTTGATGCATATGTTTAAGTTTGGTTTCATATAAATCTCATCACATATGTATTATACTCAGTCTAAATATTTCATATGGAATTTTTAAGTTCTAACCATTGGAATATCCTCTTCGAGACGTGATGTTGCTGATTGTAGGGTAAATAAGAGAGTTTAAATGAAGGTGATACGTATGGAGAGTTGGACATATGTTTTGAATTTTTATGCAAATATTAATCATAATAGGGCTAAATACAAAATAATCTCTGTACTATATATTTTTTGTCAATTTAATATTCAAAAAATTAAAATTTATAATTAAATATCTCAATTTTTATTCTATCATATATTTTAATATTTTGAATTAATGCCGTTAGTTAAATGCTAAAGTGACAAAAATATCCAACAAAATTATGATATATGTGAAAAATATTTAGTCATTGTTACATCATTATTATCATATTAGCATCAAAAAATTTAAAAATAAAAAATAAAAAAATCAGAAAAATTTAAAAAATTTAAAAATTTTTTAAAATTAAGAAAAATTTAAAAAATTTAAAGAAATCCAAAAAAATTTTTGAAAAATAAAAATTCAAAAAAATTGAAAATTTTAAAAATTAAAAAAAATCAAGAACATTAAAAAATCCTAAGAATTTCCAAAATTTTTAAAAAATCCCAAAAATATAAAAACTGTATTTTTTAAAAAATTTCAAAAATTAAAAAAAAAACAAAAGTATGAAAAATTAAAAATCCAAAAATTGAAAAAAAACTTTTGAAAAATTAAAAATTAAAAAAATTGAAAGATAAAAATAGTAAATATTTCAAACAAATTCTCAAAATCTCAAAAAATATGAAAATTTTTAAAATTTCCTAAAAAATTAAAAAAAAATACTACTCTAAAATTTTAAAAAATTAAAAAAAAACCCTAAAATTTTTCAAAAATCTAAAAAATTAAATAAATTCCCCAAAATTTGAAAAAATCTGAACATTTTTATAAAATTCCAAAAAGGAAAAAATTCTAAAAAATTAAAAATTCAAAAAAAAATTTAAAAATGTAGTCTTAAAAATCCCAGAAAAAAATCATAAAAATTAAAGATTTGAAGAATTTGAAAAATGAAAAAATGATAAAAAAAAAGAAAAATTCAAAAAAATTCAAAAAATAGCAAATTGAAACTTGAAAAATTAAAAATTAAAAAATTTGGAAAACAAAAAATTGAAAAATCATACAGGGCCAAACTTTATTTTCTTTTTTATATATTGATATTTTTAAAAATTTTATCAGATTTTAAAATTTTTAATTTTTCTTTTTTTTGGGAATTTTTTGTATTTTAAAAATATTTTTCTCTTTTTTTTTTTTTTAAAAAATATTTTTAGGATTTTTTTATATTTTAGATTTTTTAATTTTATTTAGATTTTTTTAAAGTTTTTTGGATTTTAAAATTTTTTATATTTTTATATTTTTTCATTTTTTACTATTTTTATAATTTTCCTTTTTTTTTTTTTGTTTCAGCAATTTGTTTTAGAATTTTTTTGTGGAATTTGAAAAAATTTTGGAAATTTTTTTAAAAAAATTTCAGGTTTTTAGAGAATTTTAGGATTTTTTAAATCTTCAAAATATTTTGGATTTTTAATTTTTTAGAAAATTATTTTACTTTGTTTTGTGATTTTTTTAAAAAATATCAATTATTTTATGAAGTTTTTAGAATATTTTAAAAAATTTTAATTTTTCTTCTACCATTGATGTGACAATGGTAATATGGCATGATCGAATGTTTTTAACACGTATCATAATATTATTGAGTATTGATGTCATATCAATAATTTAATTAACAATATTAATATAAAATATCAAAATGTACGAAGGAATAAAAGTTCATACACTTAATTATGAATTTTATTTTTTTAAATATTAAATTAATAAAAATATATGTAATATAAAGATCATTTTTATATTTTATCTATAATAACAATTACCAGTGAATTTAGTGAGTCCAAAGGTTCCAAATATGTTTCCTCTTTTCATTGCCACCATTTTCCGGCTAAGAACGCGTAGGAACAACTCATTGCCGACAGATATAGTGCGGCAATACATACGCAGCCTGCACATACCTATCTTTTAGAGCAGTCACATTTTATCTTATGCAGTGTAAATTGGTTCATAAATTATATCACTTTTTACGATTTAATATTTATAAAAAAAAATTAATAATTTGATATCTTAATTTTGTTATCTTCAAACACTTTATATCGTTGACTAATAGTACTATGTAAAATGATGATGTAGCATACATAAAAATTTGCCACATGTTATAATATTATTCGTTAATTTCTTGCTACATCAACATATAACAGAGTTGACGTCTGAAGCAAATGATATGATAGAATAAAAGTTAGTTATTAAATACTAAATTTTTTAATAAATACTAAAATGTAAAAAGTGATATAATTCAAGAACCAAATTACACATTAATCCTTTTATCTTATCTTCCATTTTTAGAGTTCAAACAGCTGAGCAAATACAATACTCAAGCTCCATCAGCTCAATCAAAAAATTTGAAGAGCTGGATGAGTTAAGCTTTATATATTTTTTTGTAGTTTGGTTTTGTGGACGTAATCAAATTGGTCATTTTTGACTTGTTTAAGTAAATTATCGTCAATATTCAAATAAAGAATTCAAAACTTGAGCTCTAGCTCAAAAGCTCAAATAACACTTAAAAACATATGAATAAATAACATTCTCGAATCTAAAATTTGCATGCTCTTTCCTTTTTATTTCTAAATTTCATTCCAAATCTCCTCTTACTGAAAATGAATATATATATATATATATATATATATATTAAAAAGAAAAGGTGAAAAAGAGTTTGTGGATGGAAGATCCAAATGGAACAACACTGGTTCCGTCAGGCATCAGATTAGACCTAAACTCCATTAACTACCCCACCAGAAAGCCAACCCCAACCCCTGATTGGCACCCCTAATCCAATGCTTTTCACTCACAAGCCACAATCGGTTTGATCAATTTTTGCTTCTATTTTTGAACAAAAATCACATAAACTGGCACCGTCACTTCCTATTTATGCCAGGCACTGTATTTATTGGTTAGCCATTATTGCCCACACAAATACTTTCCATTGCCCGTCTTTCTCCTTAAACCACTCAAATATCCATGTTTGGTTCCTTTCTCTTATCTAACTCCATGTTTCCTTAATCATTTATCAATAATAAAGAGGACAGTTGAACTGCTTTTGAGTTGTTTTTTTAAGGCTGTTTCCAGCATGAAACAGAGTTCCCTGTTTCGTTTGTCACTGTTGCAATGAAGTATATCCGAACCAACACCTTCAAATGGTTGTTCTCGTTGAAAAGACACAGTTTTGAAGAATATGTTGCAAACCAACATGGGGTTTTTGATGAAGAAGACAACAGCAAAGAGAGCTTCAAGATTGTTTCAGTTGCAGAGCATTCTCAGAGACCTTCTTGGAGATGCTTCTCCTTTGAAGAAATTTTTGTTGCCACCAATTCTTTTAGCTCAGGTTTTTGGAACTCTTCAAGCTTTGTATTTTTTTTTTTTTTGTTTTCTAAATTTTTGTGGGTTTTATTGTTTTCCATTTGGTTATGCGGATAAACAGATAATTTAGTAGGGAAAGGAGGGTATGCAGAGGTATACAAAGGAGTGTTAAAGGATGGGGAAGTGATTGCAGTGAAGAGGCTAACAAAAGCTTCAACTGATGAAAGGAAAGTGAAGGATTTCTTGACAGAAATTGGAACTATTGGTCATGTCTGCCACCAAAATGTATTGTCACTTTTAGGCTGTTGCATTGACAATGGCCTTTATCTCATCTTCCAGTTCTCTTCCAGAGGCTCTGTTGCTTCTCTTCTCCATGGTACAAAATAAAAAATTTTGATTTTCTATTTTTTCCCATAAAGCTCAACTGTTTCATTTCTGGGTTTCTTTTAGCCTGTTGAATGTTTTGGAATGTCTTTTCTTCATTGAGTTTTTGTCGCTGCAGATGTGAATTTGCCGCCAATGGACTGGAAAACACGGTATAAGATTGCAATTGGTGCTGCAAGAGGACTCCATTACCTGCATAAAGGGTGTCAAAGAAGGATAATTCACCGTGACATTAAGTCTTCAAACATTCTATTGACTGCAGATTTTGAACCTCAGGTACCCATATCAAATTTGCTCTATTTTAATTTTCTCTAATCAGACTAATATTTGAGTTTGATTGTATTCTTTTCTAACTCTATCTTTTTTAATTTATGTTGTAGATATCAGATTTTGGACTAGCAAAATGGCTTCCTTCTCAATGGACACACCATTCTATTGCTCCAATTGAAGGGACATTTGGGTACCATATTCTACAAACCTTTCCTCTTTTCTTTTCTTTTCTTTTCTTATTGAATGATTTTAAAAGGATATGCTATATGTCATGTAGGCATTTAGCCCCTGAGTACTTTATGCATGGAATTGTGGATGAGAAGACAGATGTGTTTGCATTTGGAGTTTTCTTGTTGGAGATTATTTCAGGAAGGAAACCAGTTGATGCCTCTCACCAAAGCTTGCACTGCTGGGTAATATTGCCTCTCTTGAATTAGAAAATCATCTCCCATTAAGTTTTATTTTTTAAGAAATAGATGCCGATGTGAATTTCATGGCTTTAATTAGTTGTTACCTTTTTAACTCAATAGGCAAAACCACTCTTGAACCGAGAGGAGATTGAGAAATTGGTAGATCCAAGGCTCCAAGGGGCCTTTGTCATTTCACAGCTAAAAAGACTTTCATTCGCGGCATCCCTCTGCATTCGAGCATCTTCAGCATGGCGTCCTACCATGAATGAGGTATTTTATCTTCTATGCTGCTGGACCATAATTTGAATCAACAATAATTCAATTACTTTACACATGTTCATCAATGAATCAGTATTTGTGATTGACTCCATGCATCCCAAATTGGTCTCAGACATTTCTTACAGAATGATGTAATTTTCAAAGGAGCTAATGCTCCTGACCATTCATACGCATTTCATGTAGACTTTTTCTTCAACATCTACCGGTCTAGTTATTTTTTGACACTAAGTTCTTGGGAAAGATGCAATGATATTTGCGGACAAGTGGTCCATTTGTTCTTTCCGTAAACGAAGGCTTTAATTCAATGGCATTCGTCATCCTTCTGCATTAGGAATTCAGATACATTAAGCTTTAGTTTTGATCAGTAAACAACCTTCTTGACAAGGATCATTAGATTATAGCAATATATACGTCGCATTCATGGATACAATAATTACATTTTAGTTGATATCCGATTGACTGACAGTGTTCATATAGGCCTGTTATGGTATTTAAAAACACAACTGTCTTAATATAATATGATATTGTCAGCTGTCATCTTAAAATTTTGGTGGTTTGCATGTAATGACTTTGAACATCCTTTTCCCCGGTAAGGAATGCAACATGCAAACTTAGATTTAGTCATTTTTTGGTGCTGGAGATGGGGCATCCGGCCTTTCACGCAACTCCAGTTAGTCAAAGGATGTTCTATCCTACCTAACCTAAATCTTTAAGCTAATACAGAAACCAAAATATTGCAAAACCATGTGATTACAAGGATCAGAATATCATTACAAAATTATTATAAAAGTAGGTCTTGTTTTGACTTATCCTTGTACCATTTTGTATTCAATAATAAAATGTGTCTTGAGTCCCCTTTTCTCTATAATTTAGATTATTTGGTTAGAAATTTGGGATTTCCTCTTGCTGAAGCAACTGAAATGGAAGTGTAATTTTGATTATTTGATTATTTTTTCAAAGTAGTGCTGCTAAAATTTGTTCATTTATACTGTTTAAACATGTCATGTGCATTGAAAAGGAAGGAATACTAACACCAGCCAAGGCTGATATATATGTTTACCAGAAAAAGGCATGGTAGAAAAATATAATTTAGTGAGTTCATGGACCTCAGATTCTAGTCATGAATCACATGAAGCAAATATAGCAAAGCATCCTTTTGACATTTCAAAATATTTTTAGTACAAAGGAGGTTATAGTCGGGTCATAGGGGAAGGATTGGGGGTACCGGGATTTGAACCCTATATTTAGGGGATATCAGTTTTAAGAGTGATTGCATAAGCCAATTGAGCTAAGTTTCGAGCTTTGACATTTCAAAATTTTATACCGACAAAATTGATGTATTAACAATTATCTGTATATGATGACAAAATCGTTATTTATTTCTTTAGCCATTTCTTGAAGTCAAATTTAACTTCCATCCACTGAAACCTTGAAGTAAAGTATTTTCCTGATCATTTATAGCTTTTGGAAGTTCTTATGGAAGGGGATACTGATAAAGAGAGGTGGAAAATGCCAGAAGAAGAGGAACAAGAAGAATTATGGGGCTTTGAAGATCTTGAATATGAATGCCAAAGTTCTTTCTCAGTCTCTCCAGAAGATTCAATCTCTACTAGAAGTTCTTAGAGGGAAAAATAGTCCATGGTGCTTGACAAAATCCTAACCACTGCTATTGTAATGTGTTAATGTAAATACAAATATTTTGCAATTATAAATACATATAAAGAGTGAACTGTTGCAACAAAACTTCCCCTTCAAGATTAGAAACTCCAACAGGAAAAGGGTAGAGAAAATGTTAAATGGATGGGAAGTAAAGAATAAAAAAGTGCAAAACTAGTCATGCTATTTTGTCTGACATTTCAACTCTTACTACTCACAAAAATGACATGCAAATAAGGGATGATAACTTTGACCATTTGCTTCTTGTAAGTAACCGAATAATCAGATTATCCAAAACTTTAACATTACTCATCACAATTTACATTTTTTTTGCTTTTTCTTTCGCTTTCTTCTGGTTTCCCTTCCTTTATTTTTCATTCACTTAATTGATTTAAATATCAAAACGCATTCAAGTTATTATCTCTAACGCCTAATAGCTTTTGTTTTTTAATGATAGAGCTAACACACTCTTTATCTCAACCTTCGACAATTTCCTCAATCATTGAAAAAATACATTAAACATTACTGTAGTCGTTTAAAGGCATCTTAAAGCCAAGCAACTGTATAAGGTAGTGAGCTATTATGAAATGTGGATTTAAGCTTCCTTTTTTGTATGGATGGAAATGAAGTCCGAAAGGATAAGTATTATTGCTCATTGATGAAACACCAATTATTAATAGTACTGTCATGCAGGTTTCCTCATGTTTGGTCATGAATTTTCGTGATCGGAAGTGAAGGAAATTTCTTAACTACCAACCACATGAATTGCTAGAAATAAAATAATAACTATATTAATAATTAACTAATAACTATAATAAGGATGGTTGAGAACAGTGACAACCAAAAAAATTAGCCAACGCGTCACACACTGTCATGCCAGGTATGTCTTGGAAGAGCCTGGATTTGGTGGAACCCATGCATACCAGATGTCGACTTCAAATTATGAATCACATCTTTGCGTTCTTGGGACAGAAATTGGAGTCCTCTAGGCAATACATTGCCCAATCAGTTCTTTATATAGACTCAACTAGACAAATTTTTGTCCCTAATTTTTTTTATCTGAAATTTTTAAAATTAAATTTGTAATCATTAAAATTAAAATTTTAATATTTTTTCAACATATCACATAACTTTTGATGATAATTCACATAATAAGAAGCAATATTCTGTTCCTTTTATTTAATTCCATTTGTTGTCCTCCTTGGGTCTTAATTTTTTTGTTTTAAACAATCAAATGTCTAATAATAAATGGGATCTCGAAGATGAACAAATTGTAACCCAAAAATAGTACTCAAGTATTCATCAATAATTTATTTATTGTTGTCCAGGCAAGGATTCTATATTAGTACAAGTGTAGAGATTTAGTTCATATATAGTAAGAGGAGGGATCCACTTATATCAATGTAAGTTATATATATATATATATATATATATTTTGGATTAAAATAATTAAGAGAAAAAATATTATTTTAATTTAAATTAATCATGAATTTAATTTTGATCCAAAAGTAAAAAATATAAAACTTACACTTGTGTAAATAAATTTTTACTCATATATTAATTTGAAATGATATATATTCGAAATTACAAGTATAATTTATAATCATAATCAAGTATTACATTCACATATAAAAATAATCAAACAAAAAACTGCTAACAAGTTAGAAAATAACTAGACAAATATAATACAAAGTTGAACCAAACCCACACAAAATAAAACTTGAACTTAAAACTTTAAGATTTTAGAATTTACTCTTATCACTAAGACAATATCTAGCAAAAATAATATATATGTATGTATGTATATGATAAGTACATAATTTATACTTTTTAAAAGAATCCCTTAAACTTTCACATGATAGTTATTTATTTTTTGAGTTTAATGGGCTTCGGAGGTGTGAGGGACTATGAGTTGTTTTTTTGGTTAGATTTTGTTTATGAGAATTTGTTATTGTATAAGCTTTTTATGCATAACAATTGCCCTTTTTTTTTTTATTTTAGTTTAGTGGGCTTTGGAGGTGTAAGGGACTATGAGCTTTTTTTTGGTTAGATTTTATTTCAGAGAATTTGTTATTGTATAAGCTTTTTATGCATAACAATTGCCCTTTTTTTTTTTTTAGTTAAGTGGGCTTTGAGGGTAAGAGAATGAGGGTTGTTTTTGGATTGAATTTTGTTTGAGAGAGTCTATTATTGTATATGGCTTTGTTTTAGATGCTTTTATTTTATTTGGTATGTAAAATAAAATTGTAATATTAATTTTTAATCTCTCACCAAATTGTAATACTTCTTTTGTATGTGCAACTTTCAATTTTTATATGGGTAAATTTTAGAAATATACCTTGTAGTTAAAGTCGAAATAAAAGTGCTTCGTGAGGTTTAAAACGTGACACTTAACTACCTTATGATTTGTTTTATTATTATTTTATCTAAAATCGTTACTTTTTTCTTTTTTTTTAATTTTTCCTTCTTTTTCATCTGAATTCACACTCTCTTAAAATTTTTATTTTCTCTCTAAAAACTCATTATCTCTGTCTAAACCCTAACCAATCCATAAATAATTATCTTCAAACCATCATAATTTCCACACCACCACCATTGTTACAATTTTATATCACCACCATACTTCAAGCAAGTGATCACTTCAATTTACTTCTTTTTTAGCCCTAAAGCGACACCATTTTATGGATATTTAAAGCTTTAAAATACACAGCCTTTTGTTCTAAGCTTTTCTCTCTACAGTCAACATTTCAACTTCTATCTAATTTTTCACTTTTAGCAGACAAGAACAAAACCTAACAACCAGTAGCCTTCCGCCCTTGTCACTTTCATATGACATTGTTGGCTGTCACTTATTGCCATCAGCCACCTCTTACAACATCGAAAACTCTTCATATCCTCATTTCTTTAAACTTACAAATCTTAAACAAAAAAATTAACAACTTAGAAACTGGTACTGATCTACCATTCGTTTACTACCCACTACGCGCTATTTAGCAGTTTTCAAAAGCCCCAAGCAAATCTTCTTTTTTTTTTCCTCTTTTTCTTCTTTTTTTAGAATTACTTAAGTCTTCAGTATAAGCCTAGATCAAAGAACTAAATAAAAATTGCTACCAATTTTTAAACTTTTTAACTACCTTCAAACTCTCAAGTATAACACCAAATCAACAGAACTAAAAAGCTCAAAAACTAGTAACAACTCGCTACCTCCGCCATTGTCTGTTACATTACCGAGACCATCACGGACTTTTTCATTTACTTTTTTACACCAGCAATGCTTCTTTCCTCTGTTTTTAAGAATAAATCCCAAAAGATTGATTAATCTCATAACTTTATATATTTTGTTGTTGCAATTTTCTGTTTTCTTACCTAGGTGATAATTTCTGATTTTTATTATAGAATTTTTGATTGTGGATTTTTCTTTAAGGCTGTTTGCTGAAATTCTGGTTTGTTTTTGAGTTTTTTTTGTTAAGGCTTTGTTGGTGAATTCTTTACTACTTGTGTTGTGGAATTTGGCTTCCTAGATTGATTTGATTCTCAGTAGCTTCTTGTTTGTTGGCAGTAAAATGGATATTTTTGGTAATAAAATGTTGTTTATGGATTGATATAAGTTTAGAGAGAATTGGTTTGTTTTATAGAGAGAAAAAGTGAATTTTTAGATAGAGGTATGAATTCAGATAAAGAAGAATGAAAAAAAAGGTAACGATTTTAGCTAAAAAAATAATAAAATAAATCATAGAATAGTTCAACGTTACGTTTTAAACCTCAAGGGGTATTTTCATTTTGACTTTAACCACAGGGTATATCTATGAAGTTTACTCTTTTTTTATTTGGTACATAAATGCAAATATAATGTATTTAGATATTTTTAATTTTATCTTTATAATACATCCTAAAAAAAATTATTGAGATCGGCAGATATAAAGAATTTTAAAAATAAAAAAAGTAAAAGTTACCATCAATCTTTTTTAGAGTGTGATTGGCCACCCAAAAGTTTATCTTTTTAATAAAACTATAAAAGCATGTTTAAAGTTTATCAAAAAGATAAATTTTGATCTGCAAAAATCAAGTTGGGTTCAGGAGTCGGTTACGTATGGAGAAGGATTGACACCCCCATAATGCCCATAAATTGGTACCGATTAATTATGCACTATTTTCAATGTTGGATGAAATGGTTTCAATTTGAAATTTAATACTAATTCCCTTTTATTATTTTAAAAAGAAAATTAATTTTATCAAAATTTTTTATTTAGGAATATCGAGAAAATCTTTAAAGTTAAAGAATTATCTTAAAATTCTCTAACATCTAGGTAGAATTTAAAATAACTCTTTTCATTTGAGATTTAATACAATATCCCTTAAAATGAAAATAACATTCCTTGTAAGAAATGATTGTTGGTGACTCTCTAACATCTAGGCTGAATATTAAGAATTATTTCTTTTTGTAATGTTATTTTTGTTTTATTTCATAACATCACAATTTTAAAAGTAAGTAAATAAAAAAAACATTTCGTGCAAAAAAGTAAATGATGGTATTATTAGATAACAAGTAAAAATTAGAGATAAAAAAATGCAAACGAGTGCAAACAATAACAAATAAATGCATGTAAGCTAATAGGTGCTATGTATGATGATGAAATGCAAATTTAAAATTAGATTCTTAAATATAATGAAACTACCTTGACTCTCCAACTTCTAGGCAGAGTTTAGGTACGACTATTCATATTTGAGATCCCATTTTATTATTATTTCTTTTTTTATTTATTAATTATTAACCCCATTGTTGAAATGAATTAAGGACTCGTATGAAAAACTTAATAGAATAAAGTTTCCTAAATACCCTATCATTTAGGTAGCATTTGGGAACACATTACTCAACTTAAGATTTTTTCATGTATCCTTAAGGTTTTGAAATGGTTTTGAGCAGGTATGGGTTGAAATTATAAAGTTTGGATGACTTATGGGTGATGATTTGAGATTGTGTACCAAATTTGGAATTTTAATTTTTGAAAAAAGTTTTAAGGGTTTTGTATTTTAGAGTTTTGGTTTGAGTTTTAAGGGTTTGAGGGTTGGTTTTAGGGTTTAGAGTATTTTAGGGCTTGAATTTTAGGGTTTGAAAAGTTTAGGGTTTTGATTTTAGGGTTTGGGGATTAGTTTTTTGATTTTAGGGTTTAAAGGGTTTAAGGTTTTAGTTTTGAGGTTTAAAGTCTCGATTTTAGGGTTTGAAG